TGGAATCTCAATTCTATTTAAAGGGATCAGTAGTACGTATGGTCTGATCATATGAAATATTCAAGAGAGAGGTTATCTTTTAGAGACTATGTATAACCAATTGCCCTCTATCTTGAATTTATTCTCAGAAGGGGTCTATTGACTTTAAAGATTTAGGTAGTGTCCTTCCTCTTTAAAACTATTAAATTTTCAAAAGATTCAACAACAATAAAATTTATAGAGAGTTCGACCAATAATGAAAATGTGACAAAATGTTAATAATTCGTGACTCTACAAGCAAGTTCAATTGTACTCTTCCAACTTTTTTGTTGGTTTGAAATTTTTCAAAATAAAACATTAGTGCGGGGAAGCCTAAAGCTAATACAAAAGTTTCTAATAAAGGATCAGAATAGTAATGATCAGTTTTCTGATGAAATTTTCACCTATAACCCAAGAAAAAAAAAATGGAAGCAATACAAAGAGTTTTCCATGAAGCTAAATATTTTTAATTCAACACGTGGTCATTTATTTTGAAATTATGTCCTTCCTATTGGTGAGTGTGGGGGATGGGAAATGAAAAAGTTGCTTCATAGTGGGTAAAGGTAAAATCAGGAAAAGAAACTTGACAATGTCAAATTAAAATTGATGAGAGAATCTATCTTGTTGCCACCAATTTTCATTTTTCCTTAAAAAAAAAATCCCAATTTTGTTCAAGGTGGTACACTAGCCAGATAAACAACTACATATCCCAGCTTCCTTTACAAGTAACTGTCACTAATGAGATATGAGTGGGAGACATGAGATAAGACTTCCAGTATGACTTATTTAGAGGAGGAGATAGCTGGCATACATCCCTTTTGCCTTTTTCTTCGTGGCTGGATCTCCAACAGCCATCTAGGACTGTGAGGAACTTAAGATTGGAAGTCATATGCTAAGGAGGGTGTAGCAGAAAAAATAGTACAAATGTAGGTACTTGACAATATCATAGAGCCAGCATATCAACTCTGGTCTGCTTACCTTCAGATCTCTTTCAAATGAGATAAAAATCACCTTCTGTATTGTTCTGACCATTATAATTGGGTCTCTATTATTTATAGCTAAATTTAGTATATCATCTTTAGTAGGAATCCACACTAAAAGATGCATTTTTACATGTGTTACTGAAGAAACATTTTACATGTGTTAATGAATATCCAAGATGAACCAAGTTCCAAAATATCTGTAGGACTGGAATATAACAATAAAAGCAACAACCTGTTATCTAATTGTTTTGAAACATGCTAACAGAAGATCAATGGTCAGGTTTTAGTCTCAAAAAAATGGGCGCCAAAGAGGAAGAATTTATCTGCATTTATTCTTTTCATCTTTCAAGGAAACAAGTCACTGTACCTGATGGATGCGTGTGTTCTGGCCACTAAACCAATGTCTACTTCTGTGAAACAGGAATACAGTCATAAGACTTTTCCATAGCATGGATGAAAATTCCCTCCAGCCTGTCCAATTCCCTTTGCTCTGATCAGTTTTCCCATAACTTAATTAGGCCTGTTTTGGTTGCAAGGAATAGAAAGCTTCTCAAAGTAGTTCAAGCATGAGCGTGTGTACATGTGGGGGAGATGTGTGAAGATAGAGTTATTGTACAGGTACAGGGAAGTTTCAAGAAAATCTAGAAAAAGAAATAGCCAGGCCTCAAGTATATCAGAAACCAAGATCTAGCTCATAAGAAATGAACTGAAGAGTGTTGTACTTAAGAGAATTGAGATCTCTAGGTCACAGAGGATGGGGGAAGGGTTAACCGATTGAGTGCCCAAGGGAGAAAGAGGTGGACATTCAGGCACCTGCCACACAAAAATCAGTGATTACAGATGGTAATGGGACTAGTAAAGTAAGACCTGACTCTCAGGCAGCAAAGGCAGGAGTTTGCAAGCAACTGGGGAGAAGATGGAATACGCTTGTCAAAACAGATTCCCCCTACCTTTATCTGCACTATTATCAAAACTAGGGGCGGGGGGCGGGGCGGGTATAGGGGAAGAGGAGAAGCTTTGAATTGGATACAAGGGCAAACTTTTATTTATATTAGACTGGACTCTTTGACTCCTACAGGTTAGATTGTTCTAAAACCCAAGAGTGACTAGTAGTTCTCTAGGAACTACTAGAGTAGTAGTAGAGTAGTAGCTCATGCTCTTATTGAGGAGAGGCAGTAGGGGAGCCAACAAAGCAGCTTGAAGGGTAGCTGTGGAGAAAAAGAAAGCTGCTGCCTGCTTCACCCCATAAGAACCCAGTGTTCAATAAAGTGGTTACACAGCATACAGCCTAACCGACCACCATATCAGCCAATGTCAATAGCAGGTACGAATGGACAGAAAGACCAGACACAGCTACCACTTGGGTAAATCATCAAGATTTAACTTATCAAAGGGATTCAGAGAGAAGATCACACAGATACACAGAAAAATAATTTGTAACCTTCTTTAAAACAATGAGGAGCAAGCTTTCAAATTTTCAAATCCTGAGAGAGTGAGGATCACACTGACCTTCTGAAAACATAATAATATGTCTCCCTCCAACACAGCATGACATTGAAGCAGTCCTGTATGTCGGCTAACCTGGATATATGCACTTCACTAGGCCAGGTGCACCTCTTCAATTGCAGGGTTATAGAAAACATAATATGATCATTTGAATGCAGTATACAGTTCACTCAAGTAAGAACAATTGTTGTATCCTTCACTCAGTCTCCCCAGTGAACACAGCCTGATCCAAATAAACTTCTAAACACAGTACTGAAGAATTAGAATGAGGCTCAGCAGGTATCCAGGCATCTCTGCGGATACCATTATAGGATAAATTCTGCTTAATACACACATGCACAACTATTATTTATTGAGCATTTATTGAGGCCAGCCACATGCTTAAGTATTTCTATACAATCATTTCATTTAACCAACACAAATAACTCAGTGGAGGAGATAATGATAAGTACTACTATTTACAGACAAGAAAACCAAGAGTTAGAGAAATTAAGTAGTTTTGCTAAACTCACACAGCTAGTAAGTGGCAGAAATGAGATTTGAATTCAGATAGCTTTGATTCCAGGAACAGTGTGTTTTTCCAGGACCTGTCAGCTCCAAGTCAAGTAGTTGTTTCAGTCTAGTTGTGGAGGGTGCAACTCAGTGGCCCATGTGGGGATCGAACTGGCAACCTTGGTGTTATGAGCTCTGCGTTCTAACCAACTGAGCTAACCAGACGCCCAAAGAATTCTGATCATAGACTTCATCTTCTGCAATAACACACCTAAAAATAAAAGCTGAGAAATGTAGTCAAGTGAAATGTTCTTGCTCTTTTAATGATTTATGTTTATTTAAGAAGCATTCAAATTAGGAAGCGTGATTGCTTTTATAATATCCCATTAGCTGGTAAACAGTAAACATAATTATAAAAGCATCAACATTTAATTTTAAAACATGAAATGTTTCCTCATATGACAATCATAGCATCAGACATCTCTTGTACATTTGTTAGGGAAACTCAGTGGGTTTTTTTTTTAACAGTATAAAAATAAACATTAAACATTAGGGAGAAATGAATGCAGAAAGCTTTGATTCTTCATTATTTCAAATCATCGTGATTGTTTATTTAATGCTTTTTGTGTATTTGTTATTTTTGATGCAAAAAACTTCATTTAAATTCAAGGTAAATTAAGACAATGATATTTTAGTAAAGTCATCAATAATTAGTGATGTCACCTTTTTTTTTTTAGGCACATATATGGCAAAATCTATGTGGCCCCTAGAACTTGGATGATAAAGGAAATTATAAATATAAACATCAAAACAAAATTAATCAAAGCATAGATGTTTTAAGACTCCTTGAGAAGACAGCGTGCTTCTACCTATGTCTTGACAAGTGCTTAGTGGACCAGGTGGCACACCCAGGAAAGAACGGTAACCTCAGTAGGGCAGTTGTTCAGCAGCAAAGCCCAGGTTAGGGGTATTTAATATATCCCAGTAATAATAAGCTTTCAGGGCTGCCTGCAAACCTCCCCTGCCTGGACAAACTACTATCTTGTTTTACTACCTTGTTTTGCAGTTTGTATATCCCCACAGGGTTTATGGACGCATCAAGATTTTGCCTGAATGACAGCAGTCTCTCCTATCATTTAGCTTTCCACTTGCTCTGAATTCATGTTAACTAAGTCAACTTCTGAAGTGTCAAGTGTCCGCGTGGCTTTACAGGAAGAGAATATGCTGACCCTCATGCCTGTCAGCTTTAAACTTTTGTTTGTCACCATCAGTGATTAAGTTGGTATTTTGAAATTCACCCATCTAACTAACCCTAAGAAGTAGATCTCTTCTTAGCTGGCTGCTCTTCCTTCAAGTGAGCTTGTAAGTGTCTGTGGACTTTTCCATTGAAGCTATAACCGCATTAAGTGCCCTGTTTGCATGAGCGATGAGATCAGGACAGCAGAAAATACTTAATCTGGTGTATTTTATTGGATTCAACATTTTTAAGGAAGGATAAGATTTAAGAACATTGGTGCACATTGAAGTCTTCTTAAACTGGACCATATGCTTTATAAACATTAATAGGAATAAAAACAAATCTCGGGCCTGCTGAGTGGCGCGTTGGTTGGGAGTTGCCTTGGGACGCCAGCTCTGAGCAGCGGGGCCCTGGTTTGGATCTCACATGGGGGCCAGTGACGCTGTGCCCTCTACGGCCAGGATAGTGAACAACAGCTCAACATGGGAGCTGCGCTGCTGTGGGTCCTGGCGATGGCGTGGGCTGCATTGGGGCTGGCGGGCGGCTGGCATGAGCTTTCGTGAGCTGCCGTGAGCCACCGTGAGAGGCCGTCTAGTGGCAGGCGAGCAACTGCCTCATCAGGGAAGAGTGCAATGATAATACCAATATAGGCCAGTGAAGCGACATCCTCCATAGCTGGACTGAGGAACAAAGGGACAGCGACTTGTCTGTTCCTCCTCCCCGATTCCCCAATGCTGTTCCCCTCCCGCGATTCCCCAATAAAATCTTTAAAAAAACAAAACAAAAACATATCTCAGTTAATGGACCTCTTCTCCTTTCTAGTGTCTCTTTATTTCCCTTAAGTGATTCCACAGAGGAATTGGGACTCTTTGATGCTTGTAGTAATCACCAGGTGGTATGAATCTAGGCTGTAAATCCATCTAATAACCTTTTTGTGATTGTTTAATATTTCCAAGACAGACAATTATTGCCCCTCCCTTCTTTTCAAGGTAAATTTCCTGCAATATTCTGGGGATTGGATTGGATGAATTTCTTTCTGGCCTGGCTTTATGTAAGGCGATCCCCTTTGTACTCATCATCAGGGTGGGCCCTAGACTCCGACTTCTGAATTTTGTGTCCTGTAGGGCATCAAAACAGGTACTATAGTAGATTCTTGGTATCCTGCTCACATCTCTGGGGCTACACTTTCCTTTGTATTTTGCACTTGTAAGTCCTCACGATCTTGTCAGTTACTTGTTGCTTTCTAAAATTGATTTTATATTTTACCTACTATTTTAGTTTTTTAAAATGCAGAGTCATTTTCTAGTTTATCATATTACCATTTCAAAATAGAACTTTTACATGGATTTTAAAAAACAAGTCAATATAGAATAGTTAAGAATACAGACTCTACAGTCAGGCTGTCTGGCTTTATATCATAGATCTAGGCTTTATCTGCTGTGTAATATAAGGGAAGTTATTTAACTTCATTGTGTTTTCCTTTCCTCACCTTTAAAATGAGGAAAGTAATAGCATGTTCCTCATAATACAGATAAAGATAGCACTTAGTACATACACTTTCTGCCACCTGATAGTCACTTAATAAGTGTTGGTTAACATCATTATTACCTCTCTAAAAGAATTGTTAAAAGACAAAA